GCAAGACGGTCACGGTATAGAGTGCGTGAACGTCCAGGTCGGCAACAAGATAGACCTCTCCTATGCCAAGATCCGCCAGAAATACCTGGACGCCACACGAGCGGGAGTATACCGTGCTGTACCTCTCAGTCCTCCTTGTTCGACATTTTCGAGAGCTTGCTGGCGCAACTTTAAAGGCCCGCGACCAGTCAGAAGCTTCAAGTTGCCCAGGGGCCTGCAGGTCCTTACGACAGTGGAACGACGAAAGTGCAACCTCGGCAACGCCTTTGCAGAATTTGCTTGGGAGGTGGTGCGCGCCGTGGCCGACAGCGACATCATTGTCGTTTTCCTGGCGTTCGAAAACCCGGATTCTTTATGGCCCCAACAAAGGCGGTAGACCCGCCAGCGTGTGGCAATGTGGGGATTTCAGGGAACTGCTATCGACAGGGAAGATTCGCGTTTTCGCTTGGTGTGGCCTGTCCGAAACCGACACGCTTTGTCTGGAAAGGCACGACGGCGTCTTTGCCATCCTGCTGCAAGGATCGAGGGTCCTCCTCTTTTCGACGCGACAGGCAATTACCTCGGAATAGTCCAGAAGGTCTCAGGGCAAATGACTCAGGACCCTTCCTCACGACAGGAGCGGAACCGTGGCCGCCAGCTTTGCGCCTGTGCAACACATCTGATGGAGGCGCTAGAGACGCTCCCTGCTACGACAGATAGTGTGGAGATTGGAGCGTCGCCGCGACAGCCCTTCCCAATAAACCCTCCAGACGGGCCAGCGCTTCAAGGAGGGTGGGGAGAGCCGAGATCATGTCCAACAGTATCTGGTACGCAAGGTTTCCATGATGGTGGAGGCCTATGCTTGCCAGGCAGATGGCCGCCAGAGAGAAGATGGTGATGATCGCTGGAACAAACTTCGACACGACATGTAGGAGATTTTCATAGCTTTCTCTGGGCAGGAGTCTGAGGTGGGAAGGAGTGCTTCCACATGGCTACAAGGGGTTGCCGGTTAGAACCTGGAGCTCCGCCACGCCAGAAATTACTGGGTCCTGGGAAGTCGGGTTGACAGAAAGAGGCCTAGATTGCTCAGGGCGATTTTGGAGGCGGTAGGTGACCCCGATAGAAACTTCTTGCGACAGGCGGAGCAAGGCCTCCCGGTAGGAGTCTTAAACCCGCTGCCAAGAACGCCGCATGCTTTCGAAGAGCAGGTGGCCTGCCGCTAGACAAAGACGTGGTGGAACCCGCGCTGCAGTGGGTCCCGAACTACTCCTCGGTCAGAGACCACCTGGAGTTTGCGAAAGAGACGTTCGAGGAGGACATCGTGGAAGACATGATGTACAAGACGGGAAGTTTGGTGACAATACGGCAGTTGCGGCGCTGGCAGTCATAGTCGAAGACGAGACGATAGAAAAGAAAAGGATGATTCACAATGCGTCACATGGCGTCAGAGTGAACCATCGCATTAGATGCAGAGACAAAAATTGGCGAGAGAGAAAAAGACCGTCCTTCGGGAGTTGCGAGACCGAGAGGAAGTTGCCTTCGCTGTAGTGGGCGACATTTCGAAAGCACACCGAAGATTCAAGCGTGCGGCAGAGGAACATGGTTTACTAGCATGTCAGCTGGATGAAGGAGAAGATACTACGAAAGACCCCGACAGCGGCACCATCTACGTCAACAAAGTGGGGACATGTGATGTTTCTTGCGCTAGCTACTGGTGGACACGAATAGCAGCTTGCGGCGTCCGTGCGACACACCATTTGTTGGGACCTCTTTTTCTTTTAAAGTTATTGCTTTATGCTGATGGTTTGGAATCGATAGGCAGGGATCGTTCCGGTAGGATGGGGATTCCTCTGGCTTTTGTTTTCCTTGCCCCTTTAAGAAGCCCAGGGGTGGTTTCCGTGTAGAGTGGTTGGGCGTGGAAGCGGAACACGGCAGCTACAGACTGGGGTTGTCGGCAAAGAGGGCGAATCGGCTGGTGAATTGTGAACTGGTTCCGAGAAATCTGGGCCAGAGGTTCCGTCAGCGGCAGAAACATGGCCCAAGGGTTGGGCCGCCTGGGATTCGCGGCGCTGGCCTTAGAGTGGGAGAAGCCCTTCTTAGGAGTTGTACTCCTGGTCGTCAGCCATACAAGGGAAGATTGGAGAGCTGAAAATCCCTGTTATGATCAGGGTCCTTTGTCTCTGGCTAGCCGAGAGGCTGGAAGGCAACGACAGACTTCAAGCCTCTTCGAAGCTTGTGAAAGAATTGGTGGGTCCGAGATTCTTCATGGACGCACAGGCAGAGGGCAGAGCCTGGGGCTTCCTTAAGGTTGTTGAGGGCTGTCAGGGATTTTGGTTTGCGTTAGAGGTCACCGAAAGTTGGGCCCCTTGGGCTTTCGTCAAAGGGGGCACGAAGAGAGTTGCGGTCCTAGAGCTTTCTGGCGACGCTAATTGCAGTGAAGCTCTGGGTTCCTGGGAGCGACAGCCGACAGCTATCAATAGTTTCCATAAGGGGCTCCACGGACAACAAGTCCAACAAAAGTCTCGTCAGAAAGGGCATGACGACAAAGTTTCCATCGACACTCATCCTCATGGAACTTACTGAGGAGCTCGCCAGTAAAAACAGCGAGCTGGAGCTGAGTTGGCTGAAGAGGGATCGCGACCAACTGACTGATGATCTTACGAATGAAAAATTCGACATGTTCGACAGCTCCTTTCGTTTCCCCTGAAAAGGGCAGGAACTGGAATGGAAGGTACTGGATAAGCTCCTCCGACACTCTGACAGGTTCTATAAGGAAGTCAAAGCAAGAAAGGTATCGGCGACAGCGAGGCTCCCCGCTAGCAAGAGGGCAAGAAAGCTGCAGCCCTGGTAGCCGGAACGTCTGCGATAGGGGAGAGGAGCCTGCCTGGTGGCAGGAGTTCCTCTGCGGCTACGACAGAGACTTCCGCCGTTCGGAAGCAAAAAGAGTGGCGCTTTTGATTAGGAACTGTAAGTTCACTTTAGAAAAGGGCTAGTGTACGCGTTCGTGATGAGGGACGAATTACGACAGTGTATGTTAGCCCGAAAGTGTGAGGTGAGTGCCGTAGGTACGAACGGTCGTTCGTGAGGAACGACCGAAACCATGCATTGATTTTCCATGTAAACATGCATGAACATGGGGAGTTTGAGAGTTTTCATACATGTGGCATGGCATGACATGACATGACATGACATGAAAGCTCAAGCCCCCAGGGGGGGCATTTTTGAAGTGCCCACCCTCCCAAACCCGCTGGGAAGATTGGCTGGTGCCAGTAGTTTCCTAAAGGGGTGAACGTAGTCTTTGACCAGGGGGAGAGCCTGCCTGGTGGCAGGAGTTCCTCTGTGGCTACGACAGGGACTTCCGCCATTCGAAAGCAAAAAGATTAGGAGCGCTTTTGCTTAGGAATTGTACGTTCATTTTTGAAAAGAGCTAGTGTATGGCAATATCATCACCCAGTCACCCTTTTGCACATCAGAACAAAAACAAAGATGTTTGGTGTGGGCCTGGGGCAGTGCAATCATGCAGCATCGGTACGGTCTCAGGGCCTAAATCTCAATGCGACGGTAAATCATTGGAATTTCACTACATTCCTGTACGGATCAGTTGAGAAAAATGCTCTTGGCAGTTGGCTTAATTTTCTGCGGTTGGCAATTGCGGCAATGTTGGTGAGCGTTTGCGGTTTGATTGAATGCAAATGACGTGCTTGAGTTTCGCCCATTGTTCTTTGGTGCCATCAAAAACTTGCCCGTGTCGACAAATGGCATCAATGTCACGTTGACTTGGATCCTTTTTGTGAAGCAAAATTCTTGGTGGGTATGCTCCACTTGGATTCTGGGTGTTTTGAACGTTAAAGCCGACCGTCGCCAACGGTTGCAGGGACAACCCAGCTCGTGGTTCTCTCTGCGAAATTTGGCGCCGAAAGTTTGAGCATGCGCGGGAATTGGAAGTTGCCATCGAAGCGTTGGCTGCTGTTTCGTTGCTTCTCCAACTCTTGCTGTATCTAGTGGTGCTGTTCTGGCCTGTTCCAAAGCTGCCTTGCAAAACTCTCAGCGTGCCTCCTGCAGGTGTGCTTCGAATCGGTGATAGCATGTCTTTGGCACCTTTGCATTGCTTCCCAAGGTTTCATTTTGATATATTTTCGGGAAACTCAAGCTTTCTGCATCTTATGAGTTGTTAGTTCTATCATGACTTCCAAGTTTTTGTTGGCAACTGCAGCAGCATGTCCATGAGCAGCCAAAGCCAAATTCGAGTTTTGAGGGTTCCGTGAAATACAAAATTGCTGCATAGGTGTTGATGTTATTACTTGAAACTTGGTCCCCGATTCCATACTTAAAGGTTTGAAGGCCCGGTAAGGCGGGGCATCGGGACAGTCGTCATCAACAATTTCATGCACCGCACTTTTCCCTGGAGCAGCCAAATGATGTTTCAAAGATTCACAGACCTAGGTGCCAGGCGGCTGAGGTTCTGCCATTGCAATTTGGCTAAGAATTAATGCTTGTTCTTCAGGATGCTTGAAGCAATCTTTTGATGACTTGAAATTCGAAGGCATGAAATCCCCCACTACGTGATGGCGTGCGTCTATGATGTCTATGTACCTAGTGGGCGGTGGTGTACTTCATGGTTGTTGCTGCCATCCTTGGCCAAAGTAACGGTTGGAAAACCAGCGAAGGTGGAATACAAATCTGATAATTCAGGCTAGGTGGCAAGCTGGACGCAAACCAAAACCGCACGTGCTTCTAGCAATTCAGCGCCAGTCCTCGGGCACTTGGTCCGTGAGGCTTCGCTGGTGTCAATGCAAAATGTATGTTTTTTCGCACGTTGACAGTTGCAGGCAATGGCGCGGGGATGGCTGCTTCTTATTTTCTGCATGAGGCGGTCGTGTGTCAAATCCGTTTGCATGTGATGAGCGCAGTGCAGGATGCAGATCGGTGCGGTGTTCATGGATTCCAAGGCAGGGTCACATCATCGGTTCACTGATGTTCACCGTGGCTTTGCCTGTGCGTCTTCATGCAGCGAGGACGTCATGAAAGGAATCAGCTATGGGCCGTCCCCGCTCAAGGACTGAGTTGCTTGTGGCTTTGACTTGACACATGAAACATTGATTTAGCCGCGCTATGCTAGGCGGCAGGACGCCTGCCCAACGACGATTTTATGTCAGATTCTGCCAAGGAAGGATGCCACATGATTGTTCAAGAGGTCTTTGCAATTCCTATTGTAGAGGCCCTGTGGAGTTCATCCGGTCGTGGGGACTTGGCAATAATGAAAAAACTGGGTGCCAACGCGGCGCGCAGTCAGCACTCTGCCGTCACAACTGCAAATCGGAACTTCAACCGCTTTCCAGGTACGACTTTACGGCAATGATCCTAGAGAGGACTGATGTTCAAGGAACGTGAGTTTGCCATGCGTTTTTTGCTGCATGGTCACCTGCAGGACCATAAGCCCTTCCTGGATGAAGCACATGGTTTAGGACTCCAGGCAGGCATCTGCGTTTTCTTGGAGAGCCCGCAAAATCTGCTATCATCTCTGGCCAGGTCATCCCTGGCATGAGCGATTACCCATACACTCAGATGCCAAAAAATTGTCAGACGACGGACCGGCAGAAAAAGTAAATCCGGTTCAGCAAGGTGCAAAAGCCTTGGCATCAGCTGCAAATAATATGCAGGACTACAACTGCTATCCCCAGATCAAAGAGCAGTACAAGAGCAATTTGGAGAACGGTTTCCTCGAGAAAGACGGCTCGTATCACCCTGCCTTGAAGCCAGCAGCTTACTGTTACTGGTCGGGTCTCACGTGTCATGGCAAACTTAGTCCATGGCCTTGACTTCGTGACAGGACAATTATAGTCATCAACGAACCTGATCTGAAGATTCCAGGGGAGTCGCAACCCAAAGAGTTCAGCAGGACGACTAGAATCTGCAAGTGAATGTCGCGTGAAACACCTGAAGACGCCTTCAGTTGACTTTCCCTGACAGGGCGATTATAAGTGCAATCGATGGCATGCTGGATGCTGAGAAGGAGTGTTGTGAGATGTGCCGCCAGCGGACTACTTGTTGCTGTCGCTGTCCAGGAGGCAGGTGTCAATGGAAACTTGCCGAACTTTACGGCCACCTTCTCCTTTGGTGTATGTTCCGCTGCTTGGTCATGCATATGTCCCTGGGTCAGGTATTCCTTGCAAACAGACTACAATGAACACTCGAAAGTATTCAAGCAATCCAGGCCCCTTTGCAGCGAATGAAGCAAAACCCAATTGTAAGAAAGGTTGCTGCGACTGGAATCCTGCAATTTGCGGAATGCAATGTTAGTCTTAGCACATGAGGCATGCTGACGAGTCGTGTAAAAGGCTTGAAAAACTGCCATTTCTTGCCGCCGTCTTCGAACGGGCATGAGCTGAGTAGCCTTTCGGGAGGCAGTACATGCAGCTTCGGTTCTGGCAGATGGGTTTGGTCACGGGTCGTTTCAACATCATTTTTGCGGCCAATTCCCAGGATGTGGCAGCAATGCATGCTACCGTTCGCGATGAGATCAGCCCCTGATTTCACATGCCAACGCTTCCAGCATCACTAGCTAAAGCCAATCCTTGTGCTTCTGTCCTATGACCAAAAGTGCAGGTTGTGAGTTCAGCCTTCAAGCCATGCGCATGTGCAATCCCTTAGTTTGAGGCTTGCTCGGGGGCAAAAGCCAAGCCCTCTCTCGGCCAGGTTGCTTGCACTGATTCAGATGAGCTTTCATGCTTCATGGACAGGTATTCTTGAGTCTGAAGATGAAAGCAGACCAGTTCAGTTCAAAAAAGGCTTCTTTAGCAAGGTGGTGTGTGTCGATTTGTGTAATCTGAGATGTTGGAGTTGCGACGTGCCATGGAGAAGCCTCAGGAGAATTGCAAGAGGTTGATTTGTGTCATGTCTGAGTCCTCACATGTTGGCAAAGCCATCAGCATGCTGCATGTGGAATACAGCAGGACTATGGATACAAGGCGAAGAACGATTTGGCTCAGGTCTACAAGACCAGGTCGGCAGTCTGTCGCGCCGTTAGCAGTACTGTGTTTCCGAAGTTGACAAGGTTCACCAACAGCTTCAACACCAATAATCCTGCCACAGACATGAAGCCACTCTTCCTTGATAGCTACGAGGCGCCCTCCTATGCCACTGGAAGGCCACCCTTAACCCAGTTCAAGGGTCTGAAAGGTGCTGTTTCCAACAACGCCCGTTTTCATCGGCGAGTATCATGCCCCGCATGTCCCAGCCGGTCAGGACAGACATCACCAAAATTTGCATGTTGGATGATGCATGCCACGAGTACTTTTGAGAACTTGCACGTTTTTTTGTACCTGCCAAGCAGCCGAAGATAGGCTTAAATCTGGTATATGCGGTCTGCGCACAGCTTCAGAAGGCACAGAACCCTCCAGCATGTGAAAATCATTGAAAATCAACTGGTGCTTAGACTCTTTGGTACTGCTTGTCTCCATGTGTCTCTGTCTGTCTTCCTTCACGTGGGTGGCATTTGCCAGGCTCCTAGACTTTGATCTTCTTTTGTTTCTCTTCGCGTGCATACCCTGGTCTCCCTGCGTCTCCTGTGTCTTCCTGCTCGTATTTCTTTTTTTCCTGTTTTGTTTCCCTTCATGATGGTGGCCCTTTCCGGGCTGTTGGAGTGCTAGTCTTCCCTTGCCTAGGTTTGCCTCGGGGAAACCCTTTGGGGTTACCAGTGTCCCCTTACGTGTGCTAATCCGGAACCCTTGAAAGTCTTGAGAGAAGAGTGGATCGTATCTGATCATGCCGTGTTGCTGGATGCATGGCTACGCCTCTCTTCCAGTCGCGGCTTTCAATGTGGCAGTTGGATAGGTTCGCCAGATCTCGTTGCGTCAGGGTTGGACATCTAGCTTCTTCTGGTGTCATTAGCTGATGGTTTCCATTGGATTGTACCTGGCAACGGCCAGTGGTATGAATGGGAAACACAGGGAGACGCACGGAGACGAGAAAACAGGAACCTGGCAATTGCCAATGTGGGTACCTCGGGTTCCGTAAGATGAGGACCCCCAAACCCAGGGATACAACCCTGGGGGTACGACCCTGAAACTGAGTAGTCTCTTTGGTCGCCCGGCAACAGTCAGGGCGAAAAGCGTGTTGTAGGACTTGCAGAAGATCATGTCCATCGCGCGAAATTCCAGCTTGGTGCCTCTGGCGGCAGCGTTGGCAGTCAGAAGCACTCAGGAAGAATCCTCAGATGCTAAGGCAGGCGTGAGCTTCTTTGAGTTCCAGGTGCGATACGACAAGGGTGGATCCGAGATGGAGTTTGGCATGTGCCGGGCTCAGCTTACGATGTGGGAGCCAAACTGCATTTTCGCAGCAAGATGGACAGACAGAAAGAGAGGAGCAACTACACCTGACATGTGAGTGCACTTGTGGGACGGCACGCTTGCCGGAAACAATGAAAGTGGATACAAGAGGCTTGGAGTCGCCAGACCCACAGTTTGTGGACAAGCGAAGCGCAAGCTCGCGACACTGATTTCTCGTGGTTAACTGGGAGCGATGCAAGAGAGAGAATTGAAACTAGGCAATTCCTTGTCAAAGACCACGCCAGACCGTTGCATGGGACACAGGGACACGCTTGCACGTGCATGTGAGTTCTTTGAATAGTGGCCAAAAGACAAGCAGAAGAGAAGCAAGTTACAGTCGCTGCACAAGTACAGTTCCAGAATGGTGAAATATTTGAGAACCAGCGGCGCTGGGAAGGTTAACCAACTTCTCCTCTCCCCGCAACCCAGTCATCACATGTCATTACATGTCATCACAGCCTCTCGGGCCATACCGAACTAGTCGAGACATGTGGAGACTACCTGAACATGGCACCAAGCTGTGAGGTTTGGCCTCGGGGTCCAGAAGATAGCGAGGCAATGGCTCAGCACATCGGCTTGTATCAAAATGAGTCTTTTCTTCTGTCAGCATGAACTTCTTCGGCGTGGAATTCCCCGTGTGGTGCCGAGCTTGGATTGCAGTAGGTTGAGCTCAACCTTTGCTTGCAGAGTACATGTCAGGTGCCTGACGGAAATTGCAGACAAGCAGTCTTCCAGTACCGTGGTGGATGAGGTCGCAAAAGCATTCGAAGGTTGGACGCCAACATTTGGCATTTTCCAGCTGAAGAGCCTTTAAGACTTAAGCCAGTTTGGATATTGAAGACTTCGCCTTGCAGTCACTTGATGTACCATTTAGAAAAGCTGGCAGGTTGAGGTTGTATCTTGCGGCACGTGCGCTTGCAGGGTAGCATTGGTCTGGTTATGATGTTATGGAGGGGTTGTTGTTGCTTCCATGAATGAAGAGACATCAAGAGGATGCGGCAGGAAGGATTGCTTCCATTCCATGGATGCCACGTGCAGGTGAGGGCATCAAGGCGAATGAGCTTTGCATCATCGACCCGCAGAAGGCACGCATCCCTGATGCACACCTGCGTTTGCAAGCTGCGTTTGCAGTGAAGGTGCCCATTTCGGAGGATGGCTACCAAGTCAGTACTTGAGCGAGACTGAGCCTTGTTTTCTCTTTCTGTCAGCTGGACCAAGGCCGTGCTGTCCTTGAAGGATGTTACAAAGATGTCTTTGTTCGTGACGCGGGTGGTGGAGCACATGGGAGGAGCGGTCTGAGTTGAAGTTGGTGGTGCGTGATGCAGTGATGCATCTATTGGGCAAGGCTCGGTGTCGAGCAGCCAAGACTTGCAGAGCTTCGCCCGGAGGCAGAGCAGACCACAGAAGCGTGAGATGGCCTGTAGCCTAGACAGTGGTTGCTCAGATACACAACCGGGAGTATGAGAGCAGCAGGGCCCCTGACACATCACAGCGGTGCGGCGGAGCCTTTCTGAACCTGTCAGGTGCGTGCACGATCTCTAGCAAGCAGTCTTAGCTTCGCTTCCATGGTAGCCGACCTCAGTCAAGAGGCTCAGACAACGTCCTTGCGTGGCAAGCCAATGCATAGAGTTTCAGCAAGGTCAGCATCCATCTTGGGTTCAATGGGATGTTGGTCGCTTAGAGCAATTGTTGGATGCGTTGAATGGGGCATTCGCAGGAAACCTGTGCACACTTTTCGAGAGAACAGGTGATGGCAGCCTGCATTGCTGATCGATCGTCAGATGAGGGCAGTGTTGGAGAGGTGTTCCTTGCAATTTAGCCGGATGCTTCTCTCTTCTTCCGGGATGTGCAAATGCTTTGGCCAAAAGGCAATCAGCTACGCCTGTGGCAAGCTTCTCTCCTTCAATTGTTCCAAGTTGCCTGACAGCTGCAGCAAGGCAATTGTGCGGTGATTGGATCGGAGCAGGGAAAGGAGTTGACGCTAACCTTCAGGACATCTGGTCGAAGGCAGATTACGTCAAGCACTTACCAACTGCAAGCCTCACAAGAATTCTTGAAGGCAGACCACCCGCAGCCTAGGTCCTTAGTCTGTACTACCTCCGGCAGGCAGACCACCACATGTACTGGACCCCGAGCACAACGCCGTTTATCCTTCCGTAGGTCAACAGCAGCAAGCCACTGCAAGATTGTAACTTTGCTGGTGCGGCAGTGAGCCCAGACAGCCCATTGCGGCAAACGATTGCTTGGTGCATGCCGCCTCATGTTTCCGAAAGCTTAGCATCAAAATTTGTGCATCTTTGGGACCGTGGAAGCTTTGCCAGCAAAGGCCATGTTTGCACCAGCAACTACCTACAGAGGTCTTGCGAGGAGCTCGGAAGGCACCAGTGCAGTACTGAAATGGCTTGACTGATATCACTGCACTTAGACTTTGCTGGCTCAAAAATGATATGACAGATGGATCTATGAGCTTCCTAAAGGACTTCTTCCGCGTTTTGGAGCTGTCGGATGATGAGGCTGAGAATTCTGCACCTTCTCCAAAGCGACAACGAACTGAAAGTGTCAGCACTGCGGCGAGCAAGGTCCCGAATCTTGCAAACAAGTGCACGCAAGACGCCACGCAGTTTGCAAAGTCCGTCGAAGTTGAAAGTGTGGAGAGCGCCAATTCTCAGCCAGAAAGTTTCAACTCAGCCCTGTATTTCAACAAGCTTCACGACTGTGCAGTCGCTTGCCGTGCCTTGGCCGAAGTAGATTGCATGTTGTTCGTATTTGTTCGTGCTTTTCGAGCACTTCTTACTGGGTTCTGCTTCACTGCTAGTGACTGTCTGAAGGCCAGATCTTGCCCGGGTTTGCGTTTTAACTCATGACGAGCAGTTTCCAGCGTTCGACATGAAGAGTGCTGGCATGCCATCCTGCCCGCAGAACCGGCGAAAGGCCTTTGCAAGATTGGGCCTTGTTCTTTTTTTATTTGTTTCTGTATGGATGCAACTGGACCTTGCACGGGGTTGCCTTCAACAGTAGATTGTGAAATTCTGAAAGCCAAGACGCTTTTGCCTGAACCCTGCCAAATCCTGGATCCTCCAGAGCCAGATTCCCCTGTTCCACGTTGCGCAAATCTGTGTTGGCAGCCGGTAGCAGTTCCAAACCGGTGCTAGAGTCTCTTAAGGCAAGATCAACCCTCGAAATCCTCCAGTCATGTGGCTACCCTACCGGCAATTCACATGCCTGACGGGGCTGCATGATGCAAGAGTGATGCAAGCTCATTCTGTATCCAAGATGCACATATGGTGAACCAGCCAAAATACACGTAGCGCAAAGAAACACGGCACAGACGAAGACATGCAAAGGTTTTAATTTCTCTCAGAAGCTTGAAGGCACCTTCTTTCCTGGCATTGTCCTGATTGTTGGAGCAACCTAGGTGAGGACCTGTCCCTGCAAGACATTTTCGAGAATCACCCGTTGAGTAACGACTCACCTACGCATGTAGTGCTCGTGAATTTCATGCTAGACCTACCGTGGTTGTGTGAACAGTGCCCATCGCTTTTACGCGTTCCGCGCTTGACTGTGATGTACGGAGATGGAGGTGGAACTTGCAAGCAAGTCGAGAGGGAACGATCTCGGATGGGATTGGCAACGCTTTTGCATGCTCCAGCATTGCCCTTACAGTGGGGCACGCATCACAGCAAAATCGCGCTGTTGCTATACCCGAACTGCCTCAGAGTTTGTATCCGTACCTTCAATGACATTTATGCTGACGTTTACGACAAGTCCAATGCAATGTATGTGCAAGATTTTTCGCAAGCTGACAAGCATTCCACTTCGGATGATGCTTTCGGAATGGATTTTCAGCAGCAGTTGGACAAGTACTTCCAGGCTTGTGGTGGTTTTGACACCGCAGCACTGCGTGCCTACGATTTCTCTACTGCGGCGGTGGCAATTATATCTTCCGTGCCAGGATATCATACTTCTGGTGACCTACACGCATGGGGGCACCTGCGTTTGCGCAAACTGCTGGGCTTGCATGCCACAGGGTCTTACCATCCTGAGGCATCGCAGGGCATCATATGCCAGGCCAGTTCGTTTGGGTCTTTCTCGAAGAAGTGGCTTGAAGAATTTGTGACCTCCTTGTCAACAAGTGATGCGAAGCTTCGGAAGCAGCCTGAACTTGCTTTTGTCGCTCCCACTGTCGGGCAAGTAAGGGACAGCATTGAAGGTTGGGTAGCCAGTGCCTCCTTGTTCATCAAAAAAGCAGCTGTATCTGCGTGGCCTAAGCTCTGGCGACGCTGGGGGCCCAACGAGAGTGGAGGGAACCCGCCCGACTTGAGATCGATGCAGCGGGCTCTTGCTATGCCGCACTTGAAGACCCTGTGCCGGTATGTCATCCTTGGTGAGGCAAACGAAGCTGCACTGCTTTGGCTTTACGTTGGCTCGCACAACATGAGTAAGTCAGCTTGGGGAGAACTCCAAAAGGGCGGCACGCAGGTATGTATCCGCTCTTATGAAATGGGAGTAATTTATTTCCCTTCTCGTCTGGCAAACCTTCAACGCGACTCCTCCAGAGGCGGATTCTTTTTGCAGTCCGTGCAACAAGAGTCTACAAAATGCTTTGCTGTATTCGTTTCTGCGTCTGACCGCAAGCTAGCCACCTCTCCGCTTTTGCGTGCATTACCCATGCTTTTTCCAATCGCTGTGCCGCCGGCAAATGCTCCTCCTGCAGAGGATCCAATTTGGTCCCGAGACCTATCCAAGGAGGTGTATGCAGGATTTGATCGCTTTGGGACACGCTTCGGGGAGAGAGGCCCCGAGTTCTACGGCCACCGTGCAGCTGTGTGCAGGGCAAAAGGGACATCTGCCATGGCACCAAGCCATTGTTTTTCATGGATGGTACCCAGGATAGCAGCTGTGTCATCACAAAGGACAGTTGCGGCATTTGGTGGCAGGTGTTTTTTTGAGCGCCCCTGAGCAACTGTTAATGCAGGACGCTGCTACCACGGCTCTCACTGAGGAAGGATACCAGACGGTGCTCAGCAGCAACAGCACTGATCAGGTGCTGCGCTTCCATGTTACTGTGCGCTGGAATGGTGGGAAAGCTGCAGGCTGTTACCTTCATCAGGCGTGAAGTTGCAGACCAGAACATGCAGGCGGTTTGATGAGACCAGAATACCCCAGGAGTAGAAGCGAAAGCGAGGCATACAGATGCGTGCAGTGACAGGTTACAGACCAGGCAGGTCTCGCGGCCTTCGCTGCTCACCCGCCGGCCAGCTTCGACAAGCTGAAGGAGCATGCGGAGCATGATGCCAGGTCTTGCAAGGTCCTCTTCTGGCTTATACAGCCAGTCGTCCTGCCTGGAGGACGAACTTTCTCAACTGCCGTGGGTATGCGGTGGCCCCTCAGCAAGGAATTGCCCGGAGCTCAGTGCAAGAGCTTTTCGTTGGCGATGGTTGCCTAGCAGATCACCACTCGAGATCGCAACTACCTTGTCATTAGAATGCACTGGCTTGCAGAGTCAAGGCAGGCTTCTTTATTCTTTTGTTGCCGTTTGTTCCCAAGTGGCCTCAAGCACCACCTTCATTTCAAGAGCCGGTCCTATTTCCAGTGGTTCAAAAGAAGGGTTTTGTGCAGCTGAGGCCCAGCGAAGAATGGTCTGACGTCCTTGGAGATAGGCCTGAAGCATGGCTTAGCCAAGTTGCAGCTATGCGATGCCCGTTGATGCAGCATTACCTTCAGGTTGTTGCCTCAGCTTGGCTTGAAGCCTTACTCATGTGCACATGGCGTCAGCATGCAGCAGCTACCTAGCGATCCGTAAACAGAAGCCTCCGAATTTCCTTTCATGGAGCTTGAAATGCTTCATGGGACGTGATGGACATTTGACAGCCTCCGAGCTTTGCTCTCGGAAGCTGACTGGCGCATCTCCTGCGGGATCAAGCAGGCATGGCATGAACTTGTTGCAATAGCCGCTTCCAGGCCCGTGCTGAAGGTTTGCGGCCCAGATGCGCAACGATAGCCTTTTTTGAGTCTGGCTGCTTCCTTTGTCTGTCCGTGCCAAGGCAGCCGCGGAACCTCGGGGGCCTGTGCAAGATGCAGGTGAGAGGCCAAATCGCTGCCGCAACTAAGGTTTGGCATGGTTTGTCATCTCATAATAATCAGGTTCCAAGCAGCTGGCGTTGTCGCCATCGCTACATTTGGACCGGGCTCAGGAGCCGTGTAGCTCGACCTTTGCTTTGCTTGTCGTGTGCCTGCAGAGTCTACAGGTATTCCAAGAATTGGGAAATTTGCATGCTCTGGCCGAGCAGAGGCCTTAAAGTCCGTTAAGCCAAGCAGTGCTCTGGTCTGAGCACTGAGGCCAGGCACGGCGAGTGCCTGGAAAGAGGCCAAGCGAAAATCACACCAGCATACAAAGACAAAGAAACTCTTCGTCAGGCCCATGTTGGTTTCGAGGATTCATTGTGGCGAGAGAATCGCCGCCTGCGCGGGGAGGCAGGGTTTCCGTGCATGCGCTGAAAGCAGCTGTGAACTGCTCCATGAAAGGTCCAAGCCTGGAAAGACGAAGCTGCAGCCCGGCACCGCGAAACTGCAGAACTTCGCTTGGAGGCAGACGCACTCTTGACTGCTTTGTCCTTCAAGTCTGGCGCATGTGTGTGACCCTGCAACATGGTATCGAATTTACACGCATCCCACATGAGATGGATAGGCCGCACAGCTCCAAGCAGAGCTGCAAGAACGGAGCTTGGAAAGCTCGATGTCCAGACGATGTCCTCACCGCTTGTCTTGTTGAAGACGCTGAGACGCTGAAGGCTGAGCGAGCCCGGTCTCAGGAGCTTCAGGCTCGACTGGAGGCCAGAACCCAGCAGGGAAGGGGGAAGCAAACCAAACTCCTGTCAAGTCTGTGCAACAAAGCGCATGTTTTCCTCCTGTGAAGTCAGCCATGGGTAGATCAAGAAGGCAGTGATTGTCCCTGAAACCTTGCGCTTCTCTAAAGGAACCATTGCACTCTCAAGAACATCAGGAGCGGCGGAGGTAAACAGAAGGAGGACTTGAACCTCTGAAGAAAGATGCCCAAGTTGCCTGCAGCAATGAATTCAGGATGTGCTTGCTGCTTGCAAAAGCTTGAGTCTCAACTCCTGGACTGCCACTGTCAGGGTTGTGGGTAAAACCAAGCAGGTAAGCGAGTTTTGGCACTGATTCTGAAATGTGAGAGTGTTCATAAGCTTGATTTTCAGAAGATGATGCGGCGGGCTCGAAGTCTCTCAACCGTAAACTATAAATATCACTCGAACAAATCCGTGGCCCTCTTCTTCTGGGACCCTGGCTGGCCGTCATACTGCCAGGTCCTCCATAGTCGTGGCCTGGCCGTGGAGGCAGGGTTGAAAAGGGCTCGAGATCACTCCAGATGCTTAGATGATCCTGGTGAGGGCTGCCCTGCTTCCTCCACCTGCTCCTTCCGACAAGAACGAGATGAAGGTGTGGCGATGCATGCGGCATTTCTTGTATGCAGTCACATGCAAAGAACCTCGAGGTATGCCCCTGACTACATGGCATGTCTCACGTCACGAGACTACTTGTCACAGAAGCTACGAAGCCTGGCTTGAGCCACGTTTTGCTTCAGAATCACTAGTAGAGGCAGACAAGGTCTGCAACGCAGGGAGCTAGTGATGCTATCACAGGTTCATGGTTTCAAAGGAAAACTGTTTTTTTGGTCGGGGGCGGGAAGGGGGGCAGAGGGCTCTTTCGCAGAAAATGTAGCCTCAAACTGGGGGACAAGGGGAGCTAGGCGAAGCAGGTAGAAAGGTGAGGGGAGGAGTTGACATAAATATATAGGTACCTATGGTAAGCTACTCAGGAATTGGTTGACTTGCGCTTGCACATTCGCTGCATTTGCGTGCCATGGTGTGCTTTGTGGTTGCATCAAACCTCCCTCATCCTTCTGTCCTGAAGAGCTGAAGACCTGGCTAGATTTTGTTGGCTCTCGCTTGCCCCTTCAAGTTTCCAGCGCCGGAGGCGCAAGTTGCCCGAGTTTGCTTGGCATTCATGGCTGTGCAGCGATGGCTGAGTGCTCCTTTTCACAGTGTTGCAGGTTTGTAAGTGGGTGGGTGTGTGTCAGAGTCATGGCCCATAATGTTGGAAAACTTGCCAGGGACGAGCGCTTGCAAGCCCTGGCACACGCAACATTTTTTTGCATTGTGTCTGCTGAAGTATTCGGTCACAATCAAAAATTTCAGGAGCCAACCTGCTGTGCAGAACTGTCTAGTGGTTCTTGAGTTGTCAAGCAAAATGAGGTCAGCCTTGGCAATTGTCAGGCCGCAATCCCAAACGACAGATGGTGGGCAGTCTGTGTCAACAGCACCATTTAAAACCATCTAAATGCCGAGCTGTACAAAGAAATCGTTCCCTGATAGCGTGCGCTGACATGGTGACACCGACCAGGTTCTCTGGATGTGGACTGGGTGCGTGCCAAACGCATCTCCAACGCTGCATGGGAGAGGAAGCCGTCGCCCTCAGCTTTCTTGTATTCTGATTGCTAATCATGTCACGAGACCGCGTCTTCTTGGAGCTTACAGTAACTTGTTCATCTACGTTCACCTTGTATGCCTGCTTTGGTTGATCGGAAGCAAGTCTCGGGCCAAAGGGGGTGGCCCCTGTGCCCTGCTACTTCAAAGTTACCCAGTTCAGACAGAAAATGTGGGAATATAGCTTGGGCAGAATTGTGTTACGACTGCAGCGGCATGAAATCTTTGTGACGAGAATGTAGAGTCAGTGCTGCTTGCCAGCAAAATGATGCATCGCAACCTTACCCCATCAGCCTCTATGCTCTAGAGCTCTATGGCCGTTAATTTGCACGCGCTAGCTTTCAAAGTGGTTTTCTGAAATAGTGTGCATATTGGATGCCAGCCTTCAGGTCAGCAGCCATCCCAGACTCAGAGATGAGGATCGATGATGCAACACAGCGCAGATTCCTCAACACGGAAAGGGGGGGTCTTCTTTGCAATCTTCCTCCGCAAGATCGCTCCGTTCTCCACAGGCGGTGTCTGGAAGGCCATCGACCTAGCAGCCATGTGCGACCCCAAGTTGGTCTGCGTGCAAGCGGACCTCCAGGGATTTCGAACAGCTCGTGAAAGGTTTTGCAAGTCCTGCAGCTCTTTCATGTGTGCATATACGTGCTATCACCGTCCTCAGGGCTGCACGGCATGCTGGTGAAGTTGCCGAGCTGCAGCTGCAGCACACGTCGGCACTGCAGGCTTCTTTGAGCAGCTCCATCTAAAGCCTGATGCTCATTCGACCCTGAAGGTGCTTCAAAGCAAAGCAGACGTTTCACTGGGCCGTGCTCGTCTGGCAGAGGTGGCTTATTCCAAAGTTGAATTACCCAGATCAGAAACATGCCTCAGGTTCGATGCATAAGCTTGGAAGCAAAGAAGGCAGGAAGTTGCAAAGGAAGATCCAATGACAGCTAGGAAGCCTTCTGCAATGAAAGCTCATGTGGTCTAGGAGCGCTGCTGCTCGATGATGTTGATGCTTGTACAGGCCAGCTGGCATGCTGCGTCATGCTGCGTCTAGGCTTCATGACAGCGTGTGGACCTGTCAGGTTCACACGCGCGGCGAGGTTTTCGCAGCGTGGAGCAAAGAATCTCGACTGCAAGAAGCTGCATTGCAAAGCTTTCTTCACAGTCTTCTCTCCCCCACCTGAGCTCAGATAGGAAAAACTATGCCATGTGTGATCCAGCAGAGTGTAAACGGTTATGTTCAGGCCATGCCCACTTTAAAGTCTAGAGATTCTAGAGTCTAGAAGTAAATCTTTGCACAACAAACAAGGCGTGTCAGTTGTCGAGATCGCTTCGCCAGACTAAAGTGTCTATGGCTTTCGCGCCGAGCTCACTTTTAGGTTTTCTCGACATGGTCCTTGCGTGGCTTGGCACCCGCATTCCCTCGCAGGTCTTGCTGCGTGCCTTCGAGCAGCGAGAGGCAATCGGCATTGGCAAGTTACAGCTTGTCAGGCGGTTTGTGAGTTTTTGGATCCAAGTCTTTGCCTCGAATGGTCCTGCACAGCTGGGCGGCCGCGGCGGGCTCGGATCGGCCCTCGTGTGACAGCATCGTGGTGGCTTGCGCCGAGCCATGCCGAGGTGTGCCGCACTGAGCTTTCTGATCGAAGGCGAATTCATACGGAGGCCCAATTGAGGAATCCCCAAAGTCTCGCCGCATCGAGCATTTCGGCTCCCCTCCAGGCGCTGCTTTCAGGTCGTGAATCCATGTTTTCAACTTAGACTGGGGCAATGTAATGTGACTTGGTCTTCTTGATGCCACGACACAGCTAAGGCATCAATCACGACTATCCTGGCTAATGTGCAGCCACATTTCATCTAATCTTCAGGCGGGAAAGCTTTTAAGAACTTTGAGACTGGTTCCTGTGATTCAGAGTACCAGACCTTGGAAGGCCTGTGCCAAAGAGCTCTTTCTGTCTTGGAGATGTGTGGTCGCAAACTTGATCGTCTGGAGGTGGCAGTCTCTGAATCTCCTGAAGCCACTTTGCAGCCTAGGCCCTTTCTGCTGGTTCCAGAGGACTGCATGCACGATTGCGCCTTGAAGAGGCGCCAGCCTGATTTTGCGAGCAGAGCCAACAATGATGGGACAAGGGCTACTGCAACAGCCATTCCAAGCAAGCTGCAGCAGCTGCTTGCCGGCTCCTGCAGTTGAGTCATGTGGGCCACAGTGATCTGACATGATCCGACATGAGCATTGCAGAGGCTCGTCGAAGTGCCGCACAAGGATTCCTGTTACGGTGCGACTCCTCAGTTTGCAAGTACGGGTGCGTGTGTTTCAGAAGGATTTGTGGAGAAGGTCCTTGTCCTTCAACAAGCCAACTTTATCTCTTGGCTGAGGCTACGTGAGAATCACGGTTCAAAATTAACAATGCAAGACGTTTTCGGGGTTTGGTCGAAAGAGGCGGGCAGTTCTTGAATGTCCCATTCATGTTGCAAAGTGAAATGGAGCAATCAGCAGACAGGTGTTGCTCCGTCACAATGGTGAGTTCCGAAGTCAACTTGAGCGGGCTCGGGCAGCCACCTCAAGTCTGTTTCGAGTCACGGCGTGAGGCCAACATGAGCTAGTTACCTCACTTCGCCTTGTTTAGGCTCTGCACGTGCAAGAGTCCAAGTCTACGACTTTCAAATGGCTGCTAATGCTGCAAAACTCCAACGAGGATTTGGCTGGTTTGTGTTTTGGGCCGCAGACCACCCGGTCTGCGTCAGGATGCCTTGCTCGCTCGCGCATTTTTCGCTCTACGCTTGGAGACCCAGGAGCGTGTCCAGCAGGCGCACTTGGCGTTCTGACATGTTTGCATGCTCAAGCACCTTCAAGTGGAGGCTCGTACGCGGGCCTGGAGTGCACAGCAGGCATCTGAATTGGTGTCTTGTCATGGGCTCAGATCGGGACATGACACCGCAACATCCCCCTTCAGATTCCCCCTGAATTAAAGAATGTCAAAGTCGCGCCAAGAGGTTTTCCCCGTGCCCAAAAAAGTGGAACCCCAAAACGCCACCTTCTGGCTGACAGTAGCCACAGGGCGCTTCTGGGATTGCATAGTAGGAGCTTTGGGTTAATGTGCAAGATGTGGACTGGCGATTTGTGCGGCATGGCAGTACAGCATGAATGCAAGAGCTTGGCTTCAAGTCGTTGCAAAGAAAGATTATAAAACGGACTCCATGCCATGAGTTGACGTTTCCCCCCATTTCATTCATTCGTAAAAATGCGATGGAACCTCCCCCAAGGTGCAAATGGCAAGGCGGTTCAGGCAGCCTTGGCCACAGTTCGGTGGAAGCGAGAGCAAATACTGAAGATTGCGTATTGTCCAGAAACATGTTTTCAGCTAGCGCCTGATGCACCCCACTTGAAGCAACTGATTATGTCAGCTGGAAGGTGCAAGAATCCAGCATTTTGTCCTGTTGCCAGATAATGTTGTACTCACCCGAATGGGCGTGTAGAAAAGGAAGGCATTTGAACGTGGCAGCACAACAAATCCGCATGCAGTCCTGACAGCATCAGGTCTTGGTTGCCATGGACAGGAGCGGGGTCTCTTTGCAGAAATGTGTTCATTCCTCAGCACATCTCGTCATGTGTTTGTGTCAGAGGCTTCAGTACTGCATTGAAAGGCGTTCTCAGAGTGGACAGCATTTGTCCATGCTGGCAAGACTTCTCGAAGTTTGGAGGCTCGTGTGCTTGTCAATTGCAGACTGCCGATGTCAGCATTTGGCCAGGCGCATCAACTAAGGGTCGCAACGCTGCAGTGCCATTTTGAGAGCACCATGTCTGGCTTCTTCAGCCGTTCCGTCGCACTGCTGACCTCTCAGTCCCACCATGCGCGGTCATCTTGCTGTTACTTTGTTGTCGAGTGAGGACAAGGCTGAGCAGGGCTTTGCTGGCGTGGGCACGTGCAGCACGGCAACGTGGCCTCCAAAACTTGCAAGCCCGCGAGCGAGCCAAATGCCCAGTCTACAGCTGCAGAAGAAGTGAATATGTGGAGCAGCGTGACGTAACTTCCAATTCCCTTGCTCCTTCCGAGGAGCAGTTTTCCGCCTGGCGCCTGCGCTTCGTGGAATCAGCGACGTGCTGGCAGGGCAAGGCCCGCCCCGCCAATGAGAAAGTTTCGCAATGTGCCGCTTCTGAAAAGGACTCCGATCAGCTTCTTGCTTTCCACTGCTGGCAGGTTGGTTGCCGAGCTTTCTTGCTTTCACTGGGGGGGGTGGGGGCAGGGGCGGGGGAGGGTGCAGGGGGAACGGGAGTGGGTGGTGGGGTGGGAAGGAGGACCAGCTGAAGAACCCAACGGAACAGCACTCAACCCCGGATCAATGTCGATGGATGCGTCCTGAAGAGGGGGTTCAAAGGGGGTGGAAACATGTGGAAACTACTCCCATGTTGCTGGTCTTAGATCTAGATTCCGCAGGCCTCCGGCCTGGGCAGATTGTTTTGCTCATTTCGTCTGGTCTGCTCGTCGTTTTGGTGAGGACAGTGCTGTGAAACTTTTGGACCTTAATCCGGAGTGCATAAGTGCGTAGCTTCTGGGTGCAGCTGCTGAGTTCACAGGCAAGCTATCATGATACCTTGGACATTTCCTGGAAGAGGGGCCGTTTTGGATTGGGTTTGCCGCGAATTGCACTTCGCTGTGGCCTTTGACCTTTTCTGGAAAGCTGGTAGGGAAAGGTAAGGTGGGCGAAATAACTTGTTTTTCAGGCTGCGGATTCTGCAATCTTGAGCAACTTTAGGGGTACTTCGGACTACGTAGCTAGAGCGGTTTGACTTCACTGGAAGCACTACCACTCAGGGCCTGTCCATGATAACCCAGTTACTTGTACCAGTTTACAGCATCGTGCTGAGGCTTGGATACAATTTTGCACGCTGGCAGCCAGGCCTCCAGCTAGCAGTGTAAAATGAGGGCCTCCAAGCCTTGCACAGGGATCGCGCGTCTGCAAAATTCCTCAAGCAGCTGCATCAACTGCAGATGTTCCGCGCCTGGTGCACCTGGTGCGCCCATCCACAGTACAGCGATCCATTGAGGCAGTGGTCAAGGGCGCAGATCCTGATGGTGGGGGCGTCCCTGCAGGCGATGCGCTGCGTTGCCAACCTCATGCCCACGATGCTTTAGGGCACCTACCTCTGTTCTGCTGCAAAGCTGAGGTGCAAAGGGTCTTCCTAGTAAGGGCCTGTTTTTCAGCGTGGTGTCGGGCTGGAAGCCTTGCACGAGCGCTGGGCGACCGGCAGGACGCCCGCATCCACGCCCGCCTCATCTAAGTGGCACAGATGCTTCTTCCGCAACAAGTGTCAGGAGTGTCAGAGATTGCAGATGCTGTTGGCGCGAGTGCTGTATGCCAGAGATTTGGCTCTTCAGCGTTCGGTTCTCGCCCTGCTTGGCTGACAGTGATGGCACTCAGCAATGATCTTCAGAGGCCTCGCCAGCAAGACACAGGAGCAACCTGTTGGCTTCTGGTTTCAACTCGCGCCCGTCCCAGATTGGAAACATCATGTCTCAGTAATTAATCAGATTTGTCCAAATGTTGCCAGTGCCTGCTCTAGCGCAGCTCAGCACTTCCGGGTGTCGCAGTTGCAGTAGCAATGGCTTCAGGCTTGGGCCATGTGGCGTCGGCTTCGCTCGGCTCTCACACTTCTGTTGTGCAACTGTTGGGTAGCAGTTCAGTCATGCTGAGGTCTGGAAAGAATGATGATTGAGGAATTGTACATTGCACACGGTAGAGATGCATATTGTTAGTGTGCAAAAATGTGGTTTGTGTGAAGGAGTGTGGTTCAGCCCGTGTGCTCCTTGGACAGTTGCAGGCGCTGTTGGAAGGGAAGTCTGAAAAGGTTGTCGTATGGATGCTGAGCTGAGCCTTCAGGAAAGCTGGGTCCAGCATGAGATTCTGCAACAGGCGCAGGCTTGCGGAAGGGAAACATGCATGTCTTGAGAATGCGGTGGCGTTGCAGCACTTTGCTTTGACCATCAAAATTCGAAGCCATTTGTGGTTGAAGATCACATGGTGGGCTGTCAACACTCACTTCACAAGTGTGGTTTCAACTGGGGCAGCGAGAAAAGGCAATCTACCAAGTTCGAGGCCTGAGACGAAAGTGTTGCATGCAGCCGCTTTCCGCGAACTTGTTGCTTCAGGGTGACGTATGCTTGCCCCCAAACCTCTTGTGAGGGGGGCTTGCCGTAAAGCCCTTCCACAAATTCTTGCTGCATCGTGGCTAGATCATCAAGACCATCAGAAACAAGGGTCGGAGCCCAGAATACAGTAACGCTGCGACCTTGTAGCGCGTCCTTCTTTCTCATCCCTAAAAAGGTCCACTGACTGACGTCTAAAGGTATGGATCATACACTTGCCATGGGAGGAGGAAGCAGATCAACAAGCCTGCCATCGCTTGGAAACCATGTTGCGATCGCCACCACCTTAACATTGAGACGATGACCCTCCGGCACAGCTTGCATTGTGGAAGAGCTTAGCCGCCTGAGCCGGCTTAGCTTGCTGAGATGTTGTCTAGATGAAGAGTTTGCGACCCGTGTATGGAAGGAGCCAAGATGGCATGTGGGACTTGGTGGCCTGAAGCTTGGCACACCCGGTTTCAAATTGTGAGGCATGCCCGTGTCACTTGAATATGAGGCCAATGTCGCGTCTCCACAAGGTCAGCCCGCGTTGGCTCTTTCTGTCGCGTGGGCAATCACGACTCACGAGTTTGTGATCTGGAATCTGGCCATGGCTCAGGGCAGCAAGCACGCAAGAAATGCAACGCGCATTCGCAGTTTCCATCCGGGCAATGGAGGGAAGTTCAAAAGTTTCGTCCTACAAACGAAGAGCGGCCGTCTGACCAATGGATGCGGCAGAGCGAGCGGAGCGAAGGCTCGCCAGGCTCGCGTGGCCTTTACCTCGAGTTCGTGCCATAAGCCGTGCCTGTGCACAGGCAAGCTCTCCGTCAGCTTGCTCCACGTGTGTATTCTGCTTGGCGTGCAAAGCGTGGTGGCAAGTTCAAACCAGGTGAGAACCAAAGCTGCTCGTTCAGTCATTGCCACCCTGAGATGTTCTGTGAGGTCAAATTGGCATGCGTTGTCCACGTTGGAAACTCCGGCAACGAGCTCGCGGCCTTTGCAGCAATCGCAAGGACCTGGGGAGTGCCACAGCTGCAGTGACAACATGTTGTGAGTATCGTATGATGTGGTCGCATGTTGATGCAATTGTATGCATCGTATTCTGCGTTGAGGTCAAGTGCAGATGGCTTTTGGGCTTGGTGAATTCAACTCAAACTTTGCGAGAAGTGAAAGAGTTGCTTGGCAGCCAATAGCCCTGCCAGTCCGATACAGGTAGATGCATGGTGGTTTGATTTTGAAGGCTTGTGAATGGAACCCGGGCGCGGGTCTTCGAATCTAGCGCCGCCACTTCTTTGGAGGCTGTCGTCCACAGCATGTACAGTAGGTCATTCATGTTGTGCTTCGTGATTGCACCCGAGGTGTTGCTGCATACCCTGCAGTTCCCTGGAGCATTCCCTCGCGGTCCGCCAACACTAATGTGCGGCTTTGCTGACTCGCCATAGCCTCGCTTCGAGCTTTACATCTTACATGATGGACTAGCGTAGAAGTCTGATCTTAGGTCCATGTTCTTGATTGTGGAGAATTTCCTGAGAAGCCTCAGCGAGGCACGTGGCAGACTCCTTTGTCACGTCAAAACGTGTTGTAAAAACGTGTTGAAATTGAGAGAAGTGTTGAGGTGGGCCTCCTGCAGCCGAAGGACGAAAGAGCTCTCTCCGCTTTCTCAGCTCTCTGCGGCCAAAGGCTTCTTTGCCAGGCCAAGACATGCCGAAGACGTGCAAAAAAAGAAAGGTCCTCTCTTTTCTTTAAAGAGCTTCGACGTCATGTCACTGCAAGACGTTGGCCGCGGCACGGGCTTTGCTGCAGCTCCCTGCCGCAGAAGCTGCCAGGAAGATTCAGGAGAAGTTTTTTAAGCTGGTCTAGGACCTAGGATTCAGCCTTTGCCTGTGCCAGGAGAGAGCGCTGCGCTTGCACCGGTGTGGGCATCGACCAGAAGAGGCTTCGAAGCATAACAGCATGCCTCAGTTTGCTGTCAGCAAGCATGTGGAATCCAGAGGTCTGTGGGGCAGCAGTAGGCGCGGCGCAGCAATCACTCTTCTTGAAAGAGAGCGCCAAGCCTTGCAGTCTGCAGGAGCAGTGTATCCTGCAGCACTGCATGCGACAGGAGCCTCTTCACATTACAGCTCCCTACCGAGCAGTATTACATAGGCTTGGTTCCATCGTTGTTGTTGATCCTTGCCATAACTGAGGTCTCTTCGCTTCGCTATACCGGAGTTTTCCGCTGGCTTCCGCGTGGCGGTGCAGGCGGAATCCTCAGGGGTTTTGGGATGCTGCTGTGTGGCACTGTGTTTCCGTTTTGCGGCTTGAGGCCGGAAGCTCCCCTGGCCGTGCATGGCCAAGACCGGATGGCAGGACGTCTTCGAGTTGCGGTGAGTGTTCTCAGTTTTTCCGCTACTGTACAGGGGTAGCAGAATTTATGTAGTCAGAACACCATCAGAAGCACTGCAAAGAGCAATGAGGTACTGATCGGCTCTCTCGTGCGGGCTCCAGCAGCCACGCTATTACTTCTCGGCCGCCTTTTCATTGAGGAGGCTGGGGCAGGAAGGTCCGGAAAGGATAGCTTTCGGCGTCTCGCAGCATGCTGCAGGTGCATTACCAAGTTTTCGTTACTTCTCAGCACTGACTATAATTGCGGGCCCGCCAACTGAATTCTGCAGCGCTCAGGTTTACACGGCTCCGATATTCGATTCCCCTGCTTGCAATGATGCGATTGCGATTCTCCTTGGTGAGTGGGTGTCAGCAAGGTTGCAGGCCAGCCACTCGCTTGTACCCTGTACCCGCATGCAGCTTGTCAATTGTGTGCATAGACTGAGGTGGCATCCCTTGAAGATGTTGTTCTTGAAGAGTACTTCCAGTCTATTGTGGGATCCCAGCACATGCGACAGTGGTTCAAGCTGCGGAAAGCGTACGCAATGATGGAGGAGTTGCACTAACATGAATCTTCAATCGCCTCGTGAACATTTGCTCTGCAGGATCACGAGCGATTGCATGGCTGGAAGTTTGATTTGGTGCTTGGCTGTGGATGTCAGAGATGGCCACACGCAGCTTACCGCAGCTTGCTTTTCGATGAAGGTTCTCAAGTTTCGAACAGACGTGGAGTTGACTGCGCCGCTTCAACTTTCAGACTTCCCCGAGGCTGAGCCCTCAGCGAAGGACAGGAGAACAGTTGCAGCGATTGCAGGTTTTGACTGGCTCGGTGGTCTACAGCGCGCATGATGTGGTGTTCTTTTGCAATCGCCAGGTGCCAAACTTGGTGCGCTGAGTGGTACCTGCTTGACGATTTACTTGCAAAGCAGTTTGACGGTAAAAGTCAGCGCCTCCTAGACTCGCATTGCTTTAGTGACATAAGCATAAAGTATCTTGTACGGGGAATGCAAACACTCAGCAGATTATTGGCTTGCAGAACTACTTGCAGCTCAGCAGCCACAAATTGCAAAGCTTGCTGAAACAAGAAACCAAACTTCCCAGCACGTCATTTCAGAGGCCCAGCAGTTTGCAAGCAGCTTGCCGCACAAGGTCTCTGCACCTTGGTTGTAAACGTGTCACTCCCATAACCAACATTTTGGGGTGGCAGCCTGGGAGGGGGAGTTAAAACGGTGGGCAAGCCATACTTGGAACTGAAATTCTTCAGGGCATGATGCAGCCACGTTTCAAGTTCCCGAGTTGATGTGCTGCACGTCAGTCCAGGTGGCCCACACCTTGCTGAATGACATCCTTGAAAAGTTCATCGCTCGCTCTGGGAACGAAAGCAGGCAGACTCAGACCTTGTCAGTCAAACATGATGATGCTTGTTGGCCATGATCAGAAAACGATTTCTACAAACCTGCTGCGGTAGACATACTTGCATACATGGATGGATTGATATTTGCTGCCAGGCTGTTGCCATTGGACTATGGCAGACTCCTGCGTGCAGACGAGGGCAATGCAATGCCTTTGCAGGTTTGCGTTTGAGATAGCAATGCAATAGCATGTGGGGAGGCCTGCAGTTTCATTTTTTTAGCAACATCACTCAACGCGTTTGTTCCTTCCTCGACAGGTTTTCCCTGACGTGCATTGGAGTTTTCATGCTGCTGTTGTCGGACACGAACGAAAACCAGGCCAGACCAGCTGCAGTTGCAATTGAATTTATCTTCCAGAATTAGGCTAGGATATTTGGATTGTGCGGAGCAGGCTTTGAAAACGGATCTGAGCGCACTGAGTATATGCAAGCAGAGCACCCTCCCTTCCGTCTTTGAAAAGTCAAGCGATACCTGTGCTAGAGATGGAGCTCTAATTTTTGATGTTCCGCTCCGCAACCCGGAGAAAGAATCAGAAAGAAGGAAGAAGTATCTGCAAGGACGGTAACCCTGTAGTGACTTTAGTGATAGTGCGATAAATCCTGGCTGATCCTGGCTGAGGTATGTTTGCGTCGGTCGTTCGCAGATTCCGTGCTGACTTGGAGGCAGCACACAGGCGGAGTGAGCAGGGAGAGGCGGTCCCACGGCTGCAAGTTCTCAGACTTCTTCTTGATACGTGTGTGTTTAACGACGATGATCGTTATTTTCCTTGCATTTTCAAGGTGCAGACAGTTTCTGGCCACTGGAGGCAATTCACTCCTGGCTTGTGTCTCTGCAGAACACACTGGTTGAGCCAGGTTCCGAAGTGATACCAAGCAGTACCAGCATTGGCAACGCACCAACCGCCTTCCACGCAACAACGAAATGTGCTCAATGAGGCCTTGCACTTCATGTTCATGCTCTTGACATTGCGTGAGTCTGACTTGAGGCATTGGTTTTACCACGTGCACCGTGCAGAGCCGGAAGTGCTGATGCGGGGCTGGACCGGAAGCTCCATGAAGCTCTCGAGGACCAGGTCAGCCAAGTTGGGCTAGATATTCTCGTGCAAAAACAGATGAAGACGATGACGAAGATGACCATGACTATGACTATGACTATGACGATGCTGATGTTGCTGTTGTTGTTGTTGATGATGATGATGATGATGATAATGCTGGTGGTGGCTGTGGCGCGCCGGTAGCGGGGTTGGTGGCGGTGGAGTGGTGATGTTGATCATGTTTGGAAGGCACTACCACCATTGCAATTGCGAGCCTCCCGAGTCTAGCGCTCAGGACAACTGTGGAAAGAAGCTGTCACTTGTGTGAACTAGTCGTGGTGGCTTAAAGCAGCACTGTAGAAGCTGTTAATGAGGTGCGTGCCAACGGGTTGGCCTCATCCATGGCAAGTGCACAAATGTGCCGACTTCGCCAACTGCTCGATTCACTTCGACAAGATTTGCTGCGCGCAAAACTGTGTGCTGATGCGTTTTGAATGCAAGGAATTCTGCTTGCAGCCATGGTTGATCCTGCTACTAGCTAGGCAAACGAAATCGATGTCTCTCTAAGTACAAGCCTCCCAAAATCCTTTTTTATCAAATGAGATGGCCCCTGTCCACCCCTCGTTCTTGTCCCGCATGCTGGTGCAGATTGCTGTTGCGATTGTGGGCGGTGGCCATGTGCTTCAACAGGATTGTGATTAGAAGCTTAAACCGATTTCAATGATTTCAAAAGTTGAACGTCAACAAAGCTTACCGTAATGAATCAACAGACTCGCAATGTGATTTCGAACGAAGTCTCGCGCACCCTCATCGGTTCCACTCAGGTCCCTGCGGCTTTGCTCAACGGTCCGTTGTCGAACCCAAGCCACGGAAAAGTTCCTGCTCATCCAAGCAGCAAGCAGGGCATCCACCCCACGCAAGCTTCTTTCAAGCATCTTCTCAACCAAAGCGAGACGAACATCTCACTGGAAGTCCTTCAACAAGTTTTCCCAGGCAAAGCAGAAGCTCTCTTACAAGTGGAGCTTCCTTATCTGATGCTTTAGGAGACAAGGTGGTTTGGAAGAAGAGTAGTTGATTGAGTCGGAAAATAAGGAAGCATTGCTAAGCAAGAGAAAGGACAGATGTGTGCGAAAGAAGGTGTGAATCTTGCACATTGCAGAGATGGCGAGAGGTATAAAGGCCCTGCTCACTTCCATGGGTCGGCATGCTCAAGACACGTTTGAGGTGGCAGCTTCTCGTGTTGTTTTCACCGTTGCTGGCCGAAAGGCAGAATGTTGTGTCATCAGGTACAGCAAAACAAGATATCAAACGATGATGCTCAAGCTGATGTTGGTGTTTTTACCAAGCCGAACTTGTTTAGCCGATTCATCAGCATGTCAGACTTACTCCATTTCTTCCCGAGGGTAACCCATGCAGAACAAGCTAGGGAGGGACCACAATTGCGGAAGCATGTGACTCATAATGGTATAACATGTTACTTGTAAGATACAGGTCCCTATGGATGCAGTTGGCCAGTATTGGTGCTGTGTGTTGCTCGAAAGGTCTGAGATTCAAATTTCCTACATCTAGCATGCAGATGTAGTCTGGACAATGACAGTGCTGATGCAGGCGTGGCTGAGAGCGGGCCAATTCAGCGACTACCACCCCCAAATATTTGTCAGCACTTCCTTGTGTAGGATGACCATCGGTTGATGCAAGCAGCTGGAAAATTGCAGCCCGAGATCCGTGGTCCGTTAATCGTCCAGACACCATGGGGAACGGGCAGAGTTGAGTGTGGCCAGGTCTCATTGTTGTCTTGGCTCTTCTGATTTTCGCAGTCGTGGGGACGCTCTACATCAGGAGAAAACGACAACAACAGGTGTTGCTGGCATTCTTACCCTGATGCTTGATGCCCTTGTTATGAGCTTGCTGCACTGCTCTTATCCCGGATCTGCTTGTTGAGCCCCAAGCTTGTGTGACAGCATTTGCTCCTGTCAGGCGCGTGAAATTGTGGAACCGCTTAATGATGGATGACATGGGCCGGCACAGGTTGACTGAATCAGTTCCTTGATCCAGCTCTTAGGGATTTAGTGATGTGGGGATAGAATCATATGAGCTGTTGTAAATCTGATACAGAAAGATTAACCTGTGTAGTTTGTCAGTGCTTGTTTCGTACTTATCTCCTCAGTGGAGGTGGGTGCCCTCCGGCCGGGCGGATTCTGTTTCAAGTGCAATCGTTAGTTCATAGCTTGACTATCGATGTTCAGCATTTGCAGAGGAAGGTTGTTCTATGGATGTACTGCTTTGCACAACCAAGAGCAAGCATATGCGATGAATCCTGCAAACACTGTTTGTGCAGCCCTTGCTGTTCTTATGACTGCTGACTAGCATTGGCTCGCCTTCAACTTGATGACAAGACAAGGCGCCACATGCGAACACTAGATGCGCCTCCTCCATGTTCAAGCAATTCCTCGCCGGGGCCATTCTAGGACAATGTGACTTGTCCCACTGCACATACACAATCAGAAGTTCCACCAAATCTAAGCTAGAAGCTATGAGAATGCTGACGCTGGCCACAGTTGTCTAGATGAAAGATGAATGGCCTCTTCGGCACCCTCCTTCGCTTGCACGGGTGACTGTGGCGTCCTCGGTTGCTTCCTGTGCAGGAGCCTCTTTACTATTTGAAAATTGCAAGAGTTGCGAGGTGCATGCGCCGGCAGCGCCACGGAAGTTTGGAATCCTCGCCTGCTTCGTGGTCGCTGCCTTAGAAGTCGTCGTCAGAATCGCCTTGCATCGCTTTGCCATGCTTTGCTCCGAGAAAAGCTGATGATAGAAAGACCACCGAGTACTAGGCCCTCCATGGGCTGGCGCTGCAGTTTTGCATCCAGACATCCGGGCAGGCTCATGAGGCAGCGCTGCCTGCATTTTCAAATTTGCCTGATCCAAGTCTAAGTGTCAGGCGGCCCTTGAGCGCATCAGAAAACTCAACAGAGAGCATTTCCTCAACGGCACAAAGGAGGAGGACCTTCAGAACTCTGAGCAATGCCAGCTTCAGCCCACCTTGCAGCGGACAGTTTCAGCAGTTGGCCTCGCAAGACGGCCGCCATCCTTTCGAATGGACTCTTGCTCATGAACACTCTACAAGGTACCGTTGACCAAAAGTACAGTTTAGGGCCTAGGGATCTTGCGTTGACTTGCGTTGCTTGTAGACACCCAAGTGCTACCAAGCTTGTAGCTGAAAGAGCTCACAGGACAAGTTGCCACAGGAGCAGTTGCCCTCGGAGTGGGCCCACGGCTAAAGCTGCTCAAGTCCTTCCACTGCAGTCTTACACGCCCATTGGGCAGACGCGAACATGTTTTGACAAGTTCAATCTCTCTTCTAAGGCCCCAAACCCGTGGGCCAGTGCATCGCTTTTTGCTACGATGCTCGGCGAAGAAAGCTGTTGCATGATACTGTAGCAGACCACTGTGGGAATGAAGTTTCGGAAGCTGTGACGACTCCCCGCTACCCAGGATCTCCCTGCATGTCTTCTTCCATCTGTTCTGCCACTGGAAGGCCAGTAAGCAGTGAAGAGACTCTAGGAGCTCTGCCTGGCCTGCAGGTCGGGTTCCGAGCTTTCATGCTATTTCAACCGGCCAGCAAATTACGCGAAGGCTTCTATGTGCAGGTACGCCGTTCTTGGATTCTCGATTTGTCTTCACAATTTTCATTGCGAGTGATAAATACGAAAGCCCAATCCATTCACCGGCAGGTTACGCCACTACCGCTGCAGCCTTACTCTTTTACTTCGGAACAAACAAAATATGTGCCCGCATGTTTTGGACTTGCAAGGGTTCATGGAAGGCATGCCTGCTATCAGGCACAGAGGGCGGCCGGCCCTTGTGCGGCTGACGTTGGAGCCTCGAAGTAGCCAAGCTTCTCCGTTTTCATCCTGCCTGCCTTTGCCTGGCTTTGGTTTTGAGGTTTTGCGAAACCACCTTGCGCCTGACCTTCATTTTCCAGCGGCAACATTATGAATGCCTTGAGCCAGGCCTTCCTTCTTTCCAAATTGCATTTACGTTTTGCATGATTTGCAGTGCTCGACATAGTTCTTCAGGGGAAGGCGGCACCGATCCGGATGAGGAGGCGACGTGCAGCAGCATATTGTTTCGTTCAAAGACCTGCTCCACAATGCTCCACACGGAGCCTTTTGTCTTACCTCCTGTAGCTCCAGGCGGTATGGCAGGAGGCGAAGTTCCTGCGCTGGCAGCCGCTCCCCGTTTTGTTTCCCAAGCCCCAAGTCGTTCAATGGACACCAATTCCTTAGTTTCTGACCTCCGAATGCTTTCTCTTGAAGTTCTGTCTTGTCCCCTCTGCAGCCCTGACTCAGCTCGTTGGCCCTCCTCCA